CCTGCTCCGCCCTTTTCCCTTAGGCTTTCATTTTGCTTGTTAAATTCTCCTGTCAGGAGCAGGGAAGGGTACATGGGTAAAAGAAGGGGGACAAACCACTTCAGCAGAGTAAGATAACCGAATGAACTTAAAAACTTACATTCTTTCTCTCCACAAACCCACCACTGCCACCTGGTAATGCACTTTTACATTTAGGAAAAAAACTTGTCATTCTTACTGTGAGGGAAAAAGTTACTGCTAAGACTTACTGGGAAAAGTTCCACCTTTGCTCATTAGTGAATCTACACCACTCCTCTGCTGTTAGGGGGAGCAAGTTTCTGGTGTAAGCAAGAAGAGTTAGATGAATTTTTGTGAAGCTGTACCTTCTCTTTTCTGGGCAGTATTTATTCCATAATGGTGTCTGAATAGTCTGTCTGAGGAAAGAATTCAGCCCAGCAGTACTGGTACTCTGCCTTGCCTTCCTTGATTTATACTCAAACAAAGGGCTAAGTTTAAGACATTCCTACTGCAAACTTCAAAAACTTGCAGTGGATTTGTCTGATAACCTCCTCCTCCACCACAATTTTAAGAAATGAAACACATCTGAAAACTCAGGACCTACTCCTTCAAAGTTCTGAGCACTCTTACAGGTGATTCTTGTGACTGAGTTATTTGGGACATCTTCAGCATCTCAGAGCCCTAAAACTGCTTAATTAAAGGACTAATAAGATCAACAAATGAAAATAATTAAAATGGTGGAAAAAGCTAATCCCATCTGCATAGTGGAATTAATTTTAAAAATCTCACTTCCAGAAGGACTGATTTCCATTTTTTAAAACTCAGCAAGAGCTAACCCTAGCAAACTCCTAAGGCAGCATCAGACTTGCAGTATTTGAGTTCCATCAAGTAAATGAACAACTCAACTCAGAGGTATCAATGGACTGCTTTAGCTGGCAGAACAGAACAGAAGCCGAGAAAGAAGGAAGTATTGATATGCAAAACGTGAGTTTCTAACTAAAAGTTCGTCTTACAGACGCAGGAAACCATTTATTCTCCCTCAGTAGCTGGGTTATTTTACAGATACTGGGCCTCAAAAGTTACAGAAACTTTGACAATTATCTTGCAATGTCTTAAGAAAAGTGAATGAAGAGCAAAATAAGGTCAAGAGCAATCCTTTTTTTAAGCCCATCTGTTAAAAATTCACTATCTAGATCAGAAGGCGGCAGTAAATGCAGTATTTCATTGCTTTCTAAGTCTTGCTAGGAAGCTATCAAAGATAGCAAGGACTTCTTGTTTAAACAAGCCTGAGTAAGAAGGAGAAGGAGGAAGAAGACTGTAAATAAAGAAATCCATATATAAATACAGACCACCCAGCAAAATCTGCCATGGTTATCTGATTCTGAATGCTGTGATTAAGGTATCACCTGATTTTTATTTTACCTGGGGAAGTTAGGCAAAGCAAGCAATCGATGTTCCTTTTTAACCACAAAGGATGTTATTTTTGTGGTTCCTAACTTATATACGTATCAGTTATATATATTGCTCTAGTATCAGTAACTCCTCATTACAGGTTTCCAGTTGCCTCATTTTTGCACATTTTTCCATCTCTCATATACATACAAGGGGTTACTATGTGCAAGCAAAGACAAATTACAGACGCATGTGAGAAAAGATTGAGCAACTCAAACATTAAGTTCTGGACATCCAAATGTTCCTACACATAGATTCCATATTAATCACTGCCTTAAAAAGGACTTTGATCGTGATGTTTTTATTCTGAATAATATCGACATGTTCATACACGAATATGTTGAAATCTCACTGGAAACTTTTTGTTTGTCATTTTGCTATGTAGACTTTGTTTTCTGAACCTTCAGTGACTCAGTCTACAGTGTGGCAGCAGACAAAAAGAAAAGACTTCAGGAAAGGTGTATTTAACATATACTCAGATTACAGTAACAATTACAGCTGATGCTGATGCATTTAGGCTGAAGAATCTTCCATAAAGCACACGTACTACAAAGCCTGACAAAACAAGCCTTCTCCTCTGATTCCTAGTGAAGATCTCCAGTATCCTGTTAGCTGCTTAAGGTACATGTTGAACATCTGAAATTGGGCCACAGATTTAGGAGACATAACTTCTTCCAACAGAAGAAGTGTTACACTTCCAAAAATATTTCATGCATTGTCACTGGTCTCTGCCATAAAATAAAACAATTCACTGTCACATCTCCTGTAAGAAGAGACATGTAGGTTTCAGCAAATCAGCAGAGCTAAATACTGCTCACCATGCAGGACTAAGGATCTAGCTTTAGTTGCACAGACATCTGCTAAACAATGCAGAGAACCAGTGAGGCCTTTACTTTCTCTATTATTCGCTACCAAACTGTCTACTGAGAAGAAATGGTAAACAAATTATTAACGCTTATTAGTAACATAACTGCAATCACAAACACTTTACCATTTTACAGCTTAATGCAGGCATACTTAAATCTCTGAAAACAGCAATAATTGCCACATGTATTAAGAAAAATTGCAGCCCGTGCTCCCTCCAGGTAGCCAAGGGCTCAAGGAGGATGAAAAATGATTGCAGAACCAGGCTACAACAGAAGAAAAGTAACTACTGAAACAGTACAGTTTGCCTGCTCTGCACCAAGGTCAGACAGTGCTATAAATTGGTTGTGTCAGGGGAAAAACTCGCAAAGCTTTCTTCGAAGACGCCTTGCTTTTAGAAGAAAGCTTTCTCCAGTATCCTTAATATTTCCTATTTCTGAAGGTATATTATCACAAACAAATACAAGAAGACAAAGAGAAAGGGGGAGCGAGCGATACATAGTTCAGCACATATAATTCACATTTTCTCTCAAAGCAATTGGAACGTAAAATTCTTGACGTTTTCTCCAAGTTTGCTAAAATTACACTGGGAGTAAGGCAGTACAAACTGCTGCAGTAATAATTAATATGGCAAATGCATATTCGCTGCTGTCATTGCACTTTGGTTATCGTTTTGAAGAGCAGCAAATTGGACAAAGGTAAATGAAAGGATTAAATTCCTAAATTCCTACTGAGGAATGTTACAGTACACACTACACTACAGTCTACTTCTCGACTTAAGAATGCAAAACTTTCTGGAGACTTGTTTCTGCTTAGTTGCATACATTTGGGTTTTTGCACTCAACCCAGCTGTGACAGGGCAGAGTATTCTTTCACCTGCTAACAGGATGCAAGAGATTCCAGGCATGAGAAATCGGAGGAGCTGAATCAAGGGCAGACAGCAGTTGTTATTACCCAGGTCTATGGTAAACAGCGATCACATACTGGTTCAGTGAACTGGAGCAGCACTGAACACAAACTTTAACACTACCACTAACAGGTATGATCATTGGCCTTCCGTGATGGGACCATGCATAAGAGCTAACAAAATAGCATATAAACTTACTTGGAGTGAAAATGCTCGTAAAGCAGGAATAGGGATTAAGGCAGCCATAAAGAAAGCAGTAACATTGCTGATAGATGTAAGGGCTACACTTGCTCCTGTTCGCTTCAAACATTCACCTGTTCTGTCCTGTAAAACAAATGGCGTGTCTTAAAAGTCAAGTGAGTAAGGTGATGTCCTGCAAATTAAGGGGTCATCCTACAGATATAACACAGTAACAGTGAAAAATTATTGCAACGAAATTCTGAATAAAAGTGTGCATTTGAGAGTATGTGAGAAAAAAGAATATACCAAGTATACTGTACAGGAGAAAAGCAGATGACACATGAAGGGCTCATGTTTCTTGAGGGTAGAAAACATTATCAAAGCTGATTCTAGCTTCAGAACAGAATGGGTACTGACACTATATCAAATACATATGTAATTACGTAGGATGTATTTTCTACCAGTGGAGTCACTTGGTGTTCTCATTTTTCAGACAAAATAAGCATGTATTAACAGCATAGAGGCATAACGCAGCTACATATCTTCAACAAGTATGTAACAAAACAAAAAAGCAACCCAAAACCCAGGGACCACACACAAAAAACGCAGAGAAATAAAGATAAACACATGATCCTTTCCCAACCAAACAGGCTATTTTGAAACATATGGAGGTTATAGTAGACTGAGGTTGCAGTGCCTGCACGCCAAACGAGCTGGAAAGAGCACATGGAAGACATTGCTTGTACAAAACAGAATAGGTAAATATACATTGCTTTTAAATGGTTTGTACTTTGGATGTGAAACTTTGGACTGAGGGTGAAAAGGTCAATAAAAGGAAAGGATCATAAAAGTGACAACAGTTTAGATTTTGTAACATTAGCATGTTACACTTGGAAATGTCATGGTAAATTACAGACATCAGAAAAGAAAACCAGAAAAATATACAAAATAATTCAAATTTAAGGCTATAACAAAGAAGCAAAAGTAACAGTTGATTCAAATAAAAAGAAATGCTTGTTTTCCAAGCTGTCCTCCTTCTCTTTTCACCTTAACATTTTTCTGTTCTTCCATTAAAGCATTCTATCATTTGTCAGACTCATATTTGAGTTTGTTCCTAAATTTACATCAGCTTCACTGAAATTTGGGGGAGAATTTGGATTATGTAAATTAGCCTTTATATAAAATTTCAAGACAAAATAAATCTAAGACACTATTAAATAAAAAATAAAAAAAGAATGTGAACATTCCAAAACATTCTAGGATCATATATATTGCCATCATTTCCTATTTCGACAGAAATAAGAATTTCCAAACCCTAGGAAAAGCTGTTGAGAAAAAAAATGGGTTTTTTTAATCACTACTAATTAATTCTGGGTACAGTTATCTTTTCCCATATGAAGCCTCTTGTTTTATCTTCCCCCAAATCCCCATTTTGTCATTACCTCGAATGGAATTCTCTTATTCTGCCCTGTTTCGCTAAATGCATGTGCCAGAAGGAAAACATCATCTACACCAACTCCAAGAGCAAGAAAAGGCAAAACCTTCAGGGAGAAACAAAACAAACAAAAACCAAGAAGGTTGTTTTATGATCTACCATGCAGCTAGCCATTAAATGACTAATTAAAGCAACTTTTACATTACACTGTACACAAATCCAAGGGTAAAATGAAAATCAAAAGGATGTAATACAGCTATTAACTTTTATTCTCAAATACTGCTGAGGAACTTGCAGTATACCATTTACAGGTACAAAATATCACCAAAAGTAATTCAAATTTTGGATCAACAAAGAATATCTGATAATAATTCAAGTTATATTCAAAATATTTTCAGAATTTGAATATCCTGATATATTCAGACGTGAAGACAAAAACCTGCAGCTTCTTACGTACAACTCAATGCCTCCACTCGTATTGGGACACAGAAAAATCAAATAACCCAGAGTCTAGCAATTATACAAGCTACATGATACCTCCCTTTTTCTTTAGTATCATTTGGCAGCATGATCACTTAATTTCTCACAGCATAAGCTATGAGATAGGAGAAAGGCATAAGTAGCATAAGTAAAAACCTAGAGCCAAAATACTTCTGCAGCTTTTTTCCCCTCAAAGATTCAGTTGTTTTCATTTACTAACAGAGTACTTGTAACTTAACAACAGACTTGTGTCTCCTAAATACCTGAGTTGTGGCAGCATTAAAGGAAATTCCAATCAGTGAGCACAGGCCCAATCCTGCAGCCACTGAGAGTGCAACCAACAAGACTCCTGCCAGCCCCACGGCACCCTGAGACTTGGCACAGTCCCACCGCAGCATTGTTAAACAGGCGTAGGCAAGCTAAAGCAAATGGGGAGGGGGGGGAAGAAGTTGGGGGAAAAAAAGCAGAATATTAGAATGGATCCTTCTCTAACACCTATCTCTCCCCACCCAAAATACACATCATTACAAACATTTTTAAACAGCATAGGCACACCACAGATGTTACACAGAGGAACAGGTGACAAGCCTGAAGCAAAAGTTCACAAACTGTAGTTTTTATTTTTAATATGCCTAAAATGTTCTGGACTACTGACTGGTAACAATAAAGCAGATATTTAAGCCCAGCTCTACTACCACAGAAAATGAAATAAATTTGTTTTATTACCATTAGCAAGTAGCCACTAGCTACTCTGATAACACTGACATCAGAAAATGACTTCAGGATGTCATCCAGGGTGGTCGTAGTAAAGGAGAGCACCTTCTGAGTAGAGTTTTGTGCAACACTTTGATGAACAACCTATGAAAAGAAAAATAAAACTTGGTCTGACTAAAGAAAAAATTCATCACTATCCTCTACAGCACACATCTGAAATCAACTACTTTTGCCTTAAAGTTCCTGCAAAAGCCCACACAGAGATTATGCCAATGCTACACGAATGTGTTTGGTAATTATTCCTTGCAAGCTACTGATTATCAGACAAGAATTTGCACCCTTCAGGAAAGGCTACTGTGATCCCAGCCCACTCCAAACATTTAGCTTGGATCCTCTTCCCATAACTCCACCATGGATTTGCTGCTGTAGGAGTTTTGCCTTTAACGCAAGGCCAGCGGTCTCTTCGAAGGGAGTGCTCCTCTTTCCCCCTCCTGGCCATTTGCAGAGGTCAGAAGCACGGCAGCAGAGGTCAGAGCCTGGGACGCGGGGGCCAGGCACTCACCCCCCCCGCCTGCCCCGCCGCTGGGAGAGCGGCACATGGCTGGCTAATGTTTTCCAGACACCTTAGAATAACCACGCCAACCAAAAGCTTTTAAATTCCAGTTAGCTCTTTGGTTGCTTCTCAGCCCCAGCAAAGCAAAAATGTCCCAGACAGCAAAGAGCAAAACCTTCACAGCTTCTCATATGGGAATAACCAAGCAGCTTCTTAATCAGGGCAGCAATCAGCTTAAAAACTGGGAGGCAATGACTCAGTTCTGGTTTAAGCATCTTCCTTGAAGAAATACTGTAAAAAGCCATGACAGAAGGCAATGGATCTTAGCAGGACTTTACAGTATGATATCTATGTTATTTTCAATTTTACCTCAACATACATCCTCTGCCAGGCTTCCAGAATTGCTGCTGCCTTATCCTCGTTCCAGTTGATATGGGAAACATATTCATACCCTTTGAAGTGCTCATACATTTGCTTAGGAGTCATCAACTGAAACATGGTTTGCAAAGCCTGGGCACTGTGATACGGAGAGAAGGGAGAGGAGGAAGAGGCATAAAATGACCATTTTCAGGAAATTATTTTCATGGCATGAAGTCCCAAATGAGACCCTAACAGGAGCTTGCATGAGTTCTTGATTTTATAGGGCACATGTTTGTATTAAAATTGAACAGAGTATAATTATTCTACTGTGTATCTGGTGCAGCGGTACTGGTCTATGCAGTATTGAGGCTAAATCTGGTTTCACTGAAGTTAATGAGAGTTTTGCCATTATTTTCAATAGGATCAGTTTCAGGAGCAAAGAATGTAACGCTACAAATCAGTTATAAAGATCATGACTGATAGAGAGTACCATGAGGATGCCACAGTTATTTCTATCGGATCTTGTAAATGCTGTTGGCAATTTGTCATTTGAAGACCTTGGTCTTTTTCATCCCTTGGAGAGAAATACCAAATTAAACTCCTGACACCTGACAAGCTGCGAGCAGTACACAGTGGCAATAACTATCCATCCTGAATTCCCACAGTATGCAACTGCATCCAACAATTTTAGAAGCTTAAGGAATTATTTATTTTTTTTCCGCTAAAAATGTATTTTTTGGTTATTGTTATAAAGACTTATTGATGTTTAGCGTGAATGTAAAAAAGGTGAAAATTCCTATTAAAAGGTCTAGCAAAAGTTCTGTGTATTAAATATGGAAGAATTATGTTTCATTTAGTTTAGTATGACCTACATTTTTCAGCACAGTTCTATTTCACAGTTTTTTTCCCCTACTGAAATCCAGTGTTCCATGACTTCTTCAAGAAGTCTGAAACAAAGGGGTTTGTTTCATCACTCAAAACTGTATTCAAGATGTAGGGACATAAAAATAGACTTTTCTCTATATTGGTCCTGAACAAAAAGTTCAGTGGAGATTTTGGAATTCTGAGAGAAGTCAAATGAGTGAGCAGATTATCCAAATTATTTTTTTTCCCTTCTTCCTTTGATCGTATTTCAAAATACGATCAAAGGTGTTCAGTGCTTTAAACACTGTTCAATGCTTTATAAATACATTATGAACAACAAGTTTCCAGGAGAAAGCTTTCTTTCTGAGCAACATACACTATCATTCTGAGGTTAGAAGCAGGAAGCAATGACACCTCCTTAAATTTAAACAACTGTTTGATCACTCTTAAATTCTGTTCTCTTGAGGCATGTCATCCTAAACTGGGATTGATAATACACATGAAGATCAGTAGATTTTGCATAATCCTCCCCCTGTGCCTCACAAACTAAACTCTAACAAAGAAAAACTTTGAAATTTTCTTTAAACATTTGTTTACCTGACAAGTTTACCAGAACTGTTCTTGACTGTACCACCTATAATCAACTCCTCCTGCCAATGCATGTATTTTCTTGACAGTCCATAGCATCCACCACTCAAAACAAGGGCTACATCAAGAGGCTAGAAAAAGTTATAAAGAAGCAATTAAGCAGTTTCGTAACTTTAGACAAACTCATATCCTAGTTCAACACCTAGTGTACTAGAATAACAGATATTAAAGACAATCTAGGATGTCTACAAAGAGAAATGTGTTCAACAAATCAAGTTGAACAAATCAGCTGGATTCTTGTTGATGAGATGGCAATTTCTCCAAAGCCTGATGTGATTGATAAAGGGATATATAAAATTGGGGCCTGTGACTTCAAATTCTTCAGAAAAATCAACAAAACTGGCCCTACTTGAAGGAAGGCTTTGCTCCAAAGTGTGAGTGTATAGCAGCAGCTGTGCTCCAGCAGTGGCTTTGTCTGGGGCATCAGGTTTGCTGAAATGCCACATCACCACATTGCCACACCCAGCCAGTAGCTGGGTGTGTACTGTACTCTCACTCCATAAATGTGGAATTAACCATTGCATCACAGATCGAGGGAACTTTCATAACTGTGGGCTAACAGCATATAACAGGAACAGAAAAATGAGATCAAGAATATGAACTATATATTGCTTGGAAGAAAATGGTACCTTGTTCTCTCCTCTCTGACCTCCCACCCCACCCCGGCCTCCCTTGAAAAGATATGCACAGGGACAAGCAAACTTACTTTGGTGGAATTTTTATTGGGAGCTGTGATTGGGCAATCGGGATCAGCAGGATTCAGGCAGGGTCGATCCATATAACCATGACCAACCTCTGCTTTATTCAGCATTTCTTCCCAGCTCTCCACTTGGTAGTTTATTTTCTTTAACTCTTCCAAGAATTCTAAGGGGTCAAAGTTGATCCACTGCAAAGGAGGCTTCCCTCTGCAAGAGAAACCAGGAGAAAATGACACACACACAAAAGACAAAAGAAGTACTGAAACAAACAGTTTTAAAATTCGTATTTGCACAAATAATGGAGTTATTTTCAGTTACAAGTTAAAACCTTTTCTGGTAAGTTTGCTTCATAAAATGCAGGGCATATTTTAATTAAATTTGGTTATGTACTTTTCTTGCAGCCCAGCTGTATTTTTAACAAAAATACTCAGTTCTCACAAAGATTTTGTATAAAACAGAATATTCACCGGTTAAAAATACTTCCATTTACAAGCAAAGCAAAACAAATCATTGAGCACCTAAATAACAAAAAAGCAGCCAACTGCTGCTTCAGAGAATCAGGGGGGGAGGGGAGAGGGAAAGAAGAGAGGGGGCTGAGGAAAGAAAGCCTGTCTCATAGTATCAGATTACTTCTTGCTAGTCTAATAATCATCTTGCAAATGTAATCAATCAATATAACTGATCTTTGTTTTTCTATAACAATACTGCGCTCCTTCAAATGCCCTGGCAGTTTGACTACCAACCATCAAGCTTTCCTGCTACCATGGCTGTCACCACTATCACTGTCACGTTTCCCACCCCCAACTTCTGAATTTGTGATGTTGACAGACTAGAAAGGCTTTTGGCTGCCTTATTCTGTGGTTCAAACCACACTGTATCTGCTTAACCAGGCTTAAGTCATTATTCCGAATCTCCCAACCAGAAAACACAAACCCCCTTATTTCCCCATCTAAAACTGTACACTAAAGGTTAGGAGATGGCCATTGCAAATTGCTTTTGCAGAGACATGCAAACCAGGACAGAAACAATAACTCAAAATGCTAACTCTTGCATAATTAAAATGCCTGCACAGATTAACAATTAACTCTTTAAAGGATTCAGGGCATATAATATCACACTTGTAAACTGTGAGAAACCACCCATAAAAGATACTATATGGTTTCTTTAATGATCTCATAAGCAAAGGATTTGTTCTTTGTTCCTTAGGAAGACTTGAGATTTAACCCAAGACATTTTCTTAGGAATAAAATTCCCAGGCAATCAATGTTTTGGTATTTTATGGGGGAAAAAAAAGTCAAACAAAAAAACCCCACCAGAAACAAGTTTATTTCAGGGAGGGGGGAAGAAAAGGCATCAAATTCTTAAAGCTTAAATTCAGAACTTACATTTTATTTTGCATGCTAGCAGAATGGGAAAAATAACATAGGATTTAAATTGATGTCTACAAATTATCTCTTAGAAACAGGAAAATCTTTGTTCAGTCAAAAGAAAATCCATGGATATTTTCTGTAGAGACACGACACTTCATCTTTTATTTTTCTGTTAAACCAGAATCTGAATAATCAATGGGAATGCAACTGAAAAATCATACACAGTTATACAATTAAAATCAGTCAGACCAGAAAGTTATAAAAAAACATGCTTACAGTAGATAGGCAGTTCCTGATTGTAGTTTTGCTCCCTCCCAGAAGCAGTCCAAAGGAGTGATAATTAAGCAAGGATAAAGATATTCTATGATCTGTCAGGATCAGAAAGGGGAAAATCACAGTTATACTGAAATATGATCAAAGCAGCACAAGCTGAACCATGAGAATACACAAATCTTACAACTAGATGCTGCACATACCTGGTCCATGTAACCTGCTTCTGTGATGAGTTCTCCTGATTTATAACACAAATGTTCCAATTTCCACTGTCTGTAAGAAATATGAAGAACAAATATTTTTTTCTTGCACAATTACTGAAAAGTTATTTTTAAAATGTAACAGACATTTAAAATGGCAACTCATATACATATATTGGTCTCAAGCAGCAAATCATTGAGAAAGGCAAATATTCAGCATAGATATACTACACCGCACAAAAAAAGCAAAGGCTTTACATTTTGTAGTTACAGACTAGACCTTTGTTTCAGTTATTCTCACATCCTCTGTAAAACTCATTAAAAATAATGGAGCTGCTTTTGGATGTACAAACTAGTAAACACATGTTAAAGGGACAGAAATCCATCTTTGTATAAATGAGACTGCTTGTGACTTAAGATATCACTCAGTGACACAACGGAGAGAGAAGCCAGCTCCAGCTCAGAGGACTAGAATATTCCCAGCTGAACCACACATGCAGGAGAAAAGAAACCATTACGATTTCTTCCTTCCTTTTTCAGCTATGTTACAACTTCCACTGCTATGACTTTTAATGCCTTAGACACAGCAGAAGCTGGGTAAAAGATAATTGGAGCCTTAGCATTAGTTCACTGAGGCATCAGTTGGATGTGCTGAAAAGATGTGCTGAAAGACAGAGGCCATCATGTAAGTAGTAACCCTGGAGGGACCACTTTTCAGGGAGGCATCTCACTAGCCCAAAGCTGGTACCTCCCTAAGGTGCACCTTTATCATTTTTTTCTTGGACAACACACAACTCCCAACCTTCAGTATGTGCACACAGCTACTCTGAAGGCTGACTCTATTACGTCTAAATAAACAGCTGTTACTCCACCCACTGCCATTTCTCACACATCTGCATTTCCCCTTATATCCAAGCTATTGGAAGGACAGTAGCCTGTGCCGCTGTTCGCAGTCATTATGTACCTCATGACAGTGTCAGTGAGTGCACTCAACTCTAATATGGAAAGATTTTCAATGTTAGGAATGCCATCCATAAGGTCCTATGTTTAAGGGCACAGACATCACTCCTTTACAAAAGCAAATGCTGGATACTGTAGCACTGCTCATATGGCTACTCTCTCAGAATCTCTTCCAACAGCACTTACCCATCTCATTTGTTAAAAGCCAACTTGTCACTGCTATCATGCCACAACGTCAAGTATCAGAAACCAGTGACGTGCAAATCAAAACACAGTCTTCAGGGAAAGGCTCTGAAGTGCTAATCATTCAAAAATACACGTGCCTGCTTTTTGGCTGCTACAGATGATGAAGAAAACTTTTGCTTTTCCCCTTACCTGTTGTACATATAGACATGTACTCTGCTGGCCTGAAGCGCAGAGTCAAGGTGCTGTCGGAGTGCTTCTGTTGTTAGTACATTAGCACCATCTTCCTGTGGAGTCTGGATCATGAGCTGGGGGTTAAACATGGCCTCTTCTCCAATCTTCTGCCGTGTGTAGTTTAACTCCCGACTCACTCGTCCACCAACTGATGGATAAATATCAACATCTTTGTATTAGCCAGTAACTGCTTATTCTGGATTCACATGATGAGCACCCTCCAGTCAGAAAAACTTGACCACGTGCACGGACTATTCTGTCTCAATCTGATCACAGTATAGCTCTAAAACTAGTAACAACTTTATTTTAGAAACACTGCAACAGAAAACATATTCCTCATTAAAATACCATTGCCTCTACTGCACTAAAACATTGATGTGTAAACTGGGGCGTCAAACAGGTTTTTTTCTACATTATAACCAATATCCCACATGTAAAAATTAAAAAAAGAAAGAAAAAAGAAAAAAACTTTTCCTTGCAGACCAGACCAAATACTATGTTACAATTTCTTACACTTGTATAAACAGTCTGCTCCAATAGCACATTTCAAGATAAATGGCTTTAATTTACACTCTTCTCCTAAATAATCTGGCAAAGGCAGAAGGAGAATGTTTCTCTTCAGTTAAAAAAAGGGCGGAGGGGAAGAGTAGGTGAGC